TACTTGTCTCGAGTACCTGTGCTTTTGAGTAGTAACTCAACCTTCCTCTGGTGACAATCTCATTATAGATATGAAAATAGTCCAAAATCAGAAAACATCCCAAACCCAAAACACTTCTGGTGCCAGCATAGTGGAAAAGGAATCCTCAACCTGTACTGTATACAGAGCAGTTAAAATAGCACAGCGAGCTCTCATCTTGATTAACTAAATTAACTAAACGTTAATTTAGCATGTTGATTTTTAAGTAAACAATACTGCATTCTTCGGGGGGGGGGTTTCTTGTCACTGTAACAAATACAGGGAAAAGCAGCTTAGTAGGTAGAAAGGTGCATTTTGGCTCATGGTTTGTTGGGTTGAAGTCCAAGTTCAGCTGGGTCAGTTACTTTGGGCAGAACATCATCATGCCATGGGAGCTATGCTAGAGGAGACTGCTCACCTCCTGGCAGCCAAGAATGAGAGGGAGGGAGGGAGGGAGATAAGAAGAAGGAGGAAAAGGAGAACGGAGAGAAGGAAAAAGAGGAGAAGAAGAAGGGAGAGGAGAAGGAGGAGGGAGAGAAAGGAGAAGGAAGGAGAAGAAGAGGAAGAGGAGGAAAAGGAGGAGAAAGATGAAAAGGGAGAGGAGGGCAAGGAAGGTCGGGAGAAAAAGAGACAGGACAAGATGTACTCTTCAGGATACGCCCTCTGTAACCTACTTCTTCCAGCCAGGTCCTTCCTCCTAAAGTTTTTAATCACTTTCCAATAATGCCATCCAATTATGAGTCCATCAATGGATTGATCCATTGATTAGGTTAGAGCTCATGTAATCCCGTTACCTATCAGTAATGCTACTAGCTGGGGACCAAGCCTTCCAAACATGAGCCTTTGGAAGGATGTTTCACCTCCAAACTATAGCAAATGCTGTTATTATTATTGTTTATTGTTCTGACTTTCTCTCTCCATAAGTCTTTGTCTCATTCTTTGTCTGCCTCTTTGTGTCTCTGTCCCTGTCTCTCTCCTTTAGCCAGCTATTCAACACAAATGTAGTAGTTTTCATCAGCAAACCTAAGAGACAGGTGCTCTTTCACTCAAAGGGCCCCCAAGTAGTGAGGGAAACATATGTTACAAAAATAAGTGCACAGTTTAGCGCCCATGGCTCACACCTGCCCTCCTAGCTACATGGGAAGCTGAGATTGGGAGGCTCACACTTTGGTTCAAGGCCAGCCAGGCATTAAAAAAAAAAAAAAAGCAACAGTAGAGCACCTGTCTAGCAAGTGCAAAGTTCAAACCCCAGTATTGACAAAAAGAAAACACACACACAATTGTGTATACACAATAACTGGCCCATAAACTGTACCACGGGCTCTGAAGCCATGTGTGGGACATTTATGGGAAGATAACAAAAGGGTTGGGAGTGTGGCTCAGTGGTAGAGCACATGCTTAGGACATGCATGGCCTGGGTAATTCCTAGCACTGCAAAGAGAGAGAGAGAGAAATAAAAGGAACGAGGATCTTCAATTCTTCAGTTCAGTTGGAGAGAGGTCAGGGAGAGCCTTGCGAGTGTTAACAGTAGTGGTGTAGTCTCTGGTCGGAAGATTTCCAAATTCTTTGTGTCCCGTGTGGAAGAATCCATGGCAGGACACATGGGTATAAATGGAGTTTATACCCAATTATAAATGGGTATAAATGGGGACATGGTGGTAACAGGTGGAAGCTGGAACCAGAGAGCTTGTCTGTCTCTTTTCCAGAAGCTTTTAAAACTTAGGCTAACCTATGAGAAGGGAATAACCTGGTGATTCCCAACCAATAATGGATGAGTGGGGAGGAACATGGGTGGTCTCTGGGCCAAGTGAGGGCAGATTAAGTTGTCCCTGAGCAATTGAAAAGAAGGCTCAGAGAAAGAGAAGAATGTTCCATCTGAAATACAGTATCAAGTCATATATGTTCTCAGAGTCCCAAACTTTCCCTAATTCCAGCCTGCCTTGAGAGGAGGTGACATCCAAACTGAGACAAAATAAGGGGTGAGGTCTTGAGGAAAAGTGAGGGGAAGAGTGCCCATTCCTTTTAAGGCCCAGAGGAGGCGGCAGGAAGGGAGGGGATAGGGAGTCAGAACTGTTTTTAGGCACCACCTTCATTCAAAAAATAAACTGAAGGGGACACAGAAGTAGGGGGTCCAGTGGGGGGCTGAGCAGGGCTCAGAAGTCCTGACTGGTTGGAGTTGTTTTGGGGGGTTCAACCAAAGAATTTGTTATGGGTTGGAGCAAGTGAGAAAGAAGTCAAGGGGACCCCGGGTTTTGCTCCTGAGTGAATAGGGGGTGTCGCTTACTGAGAAAGGGATCCTGAGGAGGTTGGTTAAGTTGGAGGGAATTAAAACCAGTGCAGAAAGACAGGGAAGGAGAGAGACAAAAGAATACAGAAAGAAAGCTGAGATGATGATGAACAGGGAGAGAGAGGGACAGAGATAGGCAGGGAGAGAGAGGAAAAGAGAGACACAAAGAGAGGGAGAGATGAAGGAGGGGGAAGGAAGGAGAAAGACAGGGAGAGGGAGAAGGAGGAGAGGGAGGAGAGAAAGAAAAGGTGGACAGAAACAGAGACAGGAAAAGATAGAAACAGGTGAGAGAGGAGGGGAGAAGAGAGAGACAGTGAAAGGGAGGGATAAAAAAGGAGGGAGAGAGAGGGAAAGGGAGAAGGAGAGAGAGAAGGATGGGGAGGAAGAGAGGGAGTGGGAGATGTTTCACTGGGCCAGAAGCAGAGGATACTTTTCTCAGACACAGACAAACAGACAACAGAGAGAGACAGAGAGGCACTTGGATAAGGGAGCCAGTGGTCACCGGCCGACCGCCCCTCCACTGCCCGACTGCGGTCAGGCCCGCGCCAGTCCTTAGGTGATGTCACCCACCTCCTGGCTCTGACCCCACCTCCCCCGCGGGCTGCCGCCCTTCTGGCCAGCCCTCACCTCCGTGGCCCCCGCACTTCCCACTGCGTCGCTCCCGGGGCCCCTGTCTCGCCTGCAGCTCCGCAAACCGCGCCGTCCCGCCCTGCCGCTGTCCAGGGCGTCCCCGCCCCACCCCGCCCCTCTTCCCTCACTGGCACCCTGCCTCTACCTACAAAATGAAGCCTGTGTCCCTTCCTTGCTCTTCTCCTGGACCCCAGCATCTCCCATCTGCGCTATCCGCCTTCTCCCCGCCCCCACCCCATCATTGTCCACGCAGGACTTCTTTTTTTAAGTAAATAAGATCCTGTCACTCCTCTACCCTCGTGTTTAAAATTGTATCCATTACACTTAAAATACAACCCCAAGACTTTAACCCTGGCATTTAAAGTCCCACACATCTGCCCACTTCCCTGTAGCGCCCATCTCCTGCCTCAGCCTCCTTTTGGCTGGCATACACCAGATTCTCTTTTCCCTGGGACACACATCTGCCTGCACCTGCTCCTCATCCTCATCCTTTGGTTCTCAGTGTAAATGTCCCCTCCTCTGAGACTCCGACCGCCACCTTATTTGCTGGTTCCTGAAGTTCTTCTTTATTATTGATGCCCCCCCACCACACACACACACACACACACACACACACACTAGGATGTGAGCCCCTTGAGCATGGAGACTGCTGGTTCATCCCCTGTCCCCAGCCTGACAGGCGAGTGACTGCACTTTTGTGGGGGAAGGCTGCATCCAGCCCTTCCTCACTGGGAGTCCCCAAGCACCTCACACACAGTGGAGTCAGTTTCTGAATTATCTGAATCCACACTGAGAGTAGGAGCAATGGTTGCCCAGATGATACAGGTGGGGAAACTGAGGCTTAGCAGGTGAGGTCACTGACCAAGGATTCAAAGGAAGTACATGATGCAGACTAACTTTGAACCCTGGGGAAGTTTGCTGGAGGAAGGACAAGAAGGAAGGGAGAGAGGAAGGTATGAATTGGGGAGGGAGGAAGAAAGGTGGAGAGAGATTTGTTCTATGAAAGACAGAATTTGAGAAAGAACACAAAGGAGAGGAGAGAGAAAATGAGTGTGAGAAAAGATTATGATGAAAAAGAAAGGGAGAGAGAAAGAATGAGAGAAGGGACAAAGGAGAGAGGAGAGAAAAGGGGAGAGAGAGAGAGAAGGAAGGAGAGAGGAAGAGAGACAGAAGTAGGAGGGAAGAGAGAAGAAGGGAAAGAGAGAGGAGAGAGAGACAGAGACAGAGAGGGAAGGGGGGGGAGGGAGGGAAGGAAGGCAGAGGGAGAGAAGGAGAGAGAGAGAGAAAAGAAAGCAAGCCAGAGTGGAGCGGGATCCCTGCTCCCAGCCCCTCTGGGCCCCCTGACCTGTACCTGGTGTCCAGGCAGCCTCAATGATTTGAGCTGGATGCTTGTGGCACCTGACTCCTGGAATGTGTCCCCTGGGGGGCAGGACAGCCCAGGGATGCTTATAAACCCGGGGGGGGGGGTGCCTGTAGGAAGCAGCTGGCAGAACTCAACTCAGCGGCAGAAGCACAGAGGCAGCCAGGTGAGAAGCCCAGGGATCCCCACCTAAAGGCCTGTGGGTCTGTGATCTGACTGTCCCTACAGCTCAGGTCACTGTGTCAGCCTCAGCTCCTTCATCTCCTCTCTCATCCAATTGCTCTTTCTAGTTAGAAGCTCCTCTCCTATTCTCTGATTCTTTGTCTCTGACTCTCAGCCTTTCTCTGACCAATCTGTCAAATGCTCTGTCTCTGAGTCTGTCATTCTCTCTGGGTTTTCCATCTGTCCTCCAAGGTCTATGCCTCTACCTTCCCTTCTTTCCCCACTATAGCTGCCCAGACCCTTTTGCTGTATACCTTCCTCTCCACTTTCTCTTCTCGCCCCTCTTTCTTTTTCCCTCTGTGTGTCGAAAGTGCTGTCTCTTTTGGTTCTGGGTCCTGGGATGGGGACAGGGTGGTGGTGAATGGAATAGGTTCTTGCCTGCCCTGTAACATCCCGGGAACTCAAGAAACAAAGGGGAGACAGAGGAATGGAGAAGGTCCCCAGATTCACCTAAGATCCCATCCTCATTTCCAGGTGCAGACAATGACAGTCACAGCAAGAAAGCCCTGGGGCTGGTTTGTGGGGTACCTCACCCTTGGGGTCACAGGTATCTGAGTGTGTGTGACTGTCTATCCCTGAGGGCCAATATCAAGTGTGACTCAATGTCCTCCTGTTTGTGACTATAACTCTGCTTGTGTGAAAATGCGATTGTCCCTCTGTGGTTGTTCCCTCATAATGAACCTGTGTGACTGAGTATGTGTGAGAGGTAGCATGTTTGTGTTTCTGAATATCCAGCAGAGTGACAAGATTTGTGAGGATGCAGTGGAGGTCAGGGGAAGAAGCACAGCTGGATGGGAGACAGTGTTGTCGGGGAGTTGCCTATTGCTCAGGATCTCTGCCTGCTGCCTAGGTCTCCAGTCCTCGGACCCCGGGATCTCTATGGGACTGTATGATAGTGTTTCTGTGTGAACGGGCTATGGCTGGGTGTGACTGTGGTGAGGCTGCGCAGGGAAGGCTCCATGCACCCCAGAACCCACCAGCTCCATGAATGGCTGGCTGTGTCGGGCAGGCCTGGCCTCCACCAGCCTGAGTGAGGGGTCCTCATGGGCTGGGAGATTCCTGGCACGGTGTTTGTGTGTAAGAGAGAAATGGTGTGTGAGTCCTGAAGATGAGTCTGGGACTCCAAGCTGAAGCCCTCCTCCTGTGAGCTCCTGTGAGCTCATCCAAACTCCCAGGCTTAGTCCACCCGCGGAACCTTGACATCCTAAGGAACCAGACCCCATGCCTATGAGGCCTGACTCTACCGCTGAAACCCTGTCCATGCTCCTGCATAGCGTTTTCTGAGCCCGCCCTCCAGTCCAGACTCCACCTTGACCACGCCCCTCAACAGTAATTCCCCGCCTCCTGCCTTTGACTCCTCCCCCTAAATACCTTATGTGGCCCCTGACTCCCTAACCACGCCCCTGCAGTCAGGCCCCACCCCTAAGAGCTCTGGTCCTGCCTCCTGAATCTGTACTCAGACATGGCTCCGCCCCTGAAACCTGGCCCCGCCTCCAAAGCCCTAACCACGCCCCTTGTACTGAGACTCCACCCCCGGGAGCCCTGGGCCTGCCTTCTGGGTCGGCCCCCAGCCCTGACTCCGCCCCCAGGATCACTGGCCTCGGGTAGCGCCAGTCAGATCATAAACGGCGAGGACTGCAGCCCGAACTCACAGCCCTGGCAGGCGGCACTGTTCTCGGAAAATGAATTTTTCTGCTCCGGCGTCCTGGTGCATCAGCAGTGGGTGCTGTCAGCAGCACACTGTTTACAGAAGTGAGTGGAAGGAGGGGGCGGGCCTAATATATGACACCGCCATGGGGCGCCTCATGAGGCCATAGTCCTGATGGCTGCAAGAGAGAGCTGGACCTGGACCAGGGGTATCCAGAGAGAGGGGCCAGGCAGACAGAGCTATTGCTTGAAAAGAGCCCTGAGTTGAAATCCCAGTTCAGTTCAGGGGCTGGGTCACTTAGCTCCCTGCTATGGGTGAGGATTTGAGGTCATGGTTAAGCAGTTTTTGGCACAGTTTTTGGCTGAGAGAGTGGGTTGGAGTGGAGGATTAGGATGGAGATACCAGTGCTAGAACTCACCCGCCCTGTGGTCCTCAGCTCCTACACTGTGGGGCTGGGCCTACACAGTCTGGAGGCCAAAGAAGAACCAGGCAGCAGGATGATCGAGGCCTCCCTCTCCATCCAGCATCCCGACTACAACAACCCAATTTTGGCCAACGACCTTATGCTTATCAAGCTGAATGAATCAGTGCCCGAGTCTAACACCATCAGAAGCATTGGCATCGCCTCCCAGTGCCCCACCACAGGGGATACATGTCTCGTCTCTGGCTGGGGTCTGATGGGGAATGGTGAGTTGGTGGATGCATGGCTGCCTTCCCAGAGGGGCTCCCCCGTCCAATCAAGGTACCCCCTAACCTGGAGCTCTGTGTCCCAGGCCAGCTACCCAACCTGCTCCAGTGTGTGAACATCTCTGTGTCGCCTGAGACCGTCTGCAGGATGCTCTATGCTCCCATATACCATGACAGCATGTTCTGTGCAGGAGGAGGACCAGACGGGAAGGATTCCTGCAATGTGAGAGACAGAGAGAGGAGGGTAGTGATTCAGCAGGAGATGGAAAAGGGGGGAGGGGGGAACACAGGGGTGGGCAGTGAGAAACAGAGGACACAGGGAGACAAAGAAGCACAGAGAAAGAGAGAGCAATAGATGCATGAATACAGAAAAAGAGAGGGAGGCAAGGAGGCAGAATGACACACAGAGAGAAATAGACCAAGGAGAAGTAGACTCAGAGATGAGACACACTGAGAAATAGGGGAAAAAACAAAATACAGAGCACAAAAACAGGAAGAAACAAGTCATAGGGGGAAACAAAGGACAGACAGACAGAGAAGACCAGCAACAGACCCAAAGGAAACCGGGCAGGACTAGGTAGCCTCAGAACTCTGGCTTGGGACATCCAAGGAGTGTGTTGCTGTTTTTGTTGAGTTTTGTTACTTTCTTTTTTTCCTATCTTTGTCTCTGAATCTCAGTATTTTGGATTCTGACTCTCTCTCTCTCTCTCTCTCTCTCTCTCTCTCTCTCTCTCTCTCTCTCTCAGGGTGATTCTGGAGGGCCCATAGTCTGCAACAGGTCCCTGCAGGGCCTTGTGTCTTTGGGACTGAACCAGTGTGGTCAGCCCAGCATACCCAGTGTCTACACCAACCTCTGCAAATTCACTGACTGGATAAGTAGAACCATTCGGACCAGTTAGTCCTGGGGCCTGGGACCGAAGAGTCCCTACACACATCAGAGTCTGGGTTCCCAGCCCCTCCTCCCTCACCCAGGAGTCCAAACCCTTAGCCACTTCCTTTCTCAGGAACCCAGGCCCCAGCCCTCCTCCTTCAGACCCAGGGATTCAGAGAAGAGTCAAACTTGAATTTCCTCCTGTACACAGTACCCCCTAGTGGCCCTAACTTGCCACTATAAAGTTGTTTTCACCCTTAAGTACCTTCCCAAAGATTCTGAAATAAAATCTAAGAGAAACACAGGTTCTGTCTGGTGTCTTCCTTGCTTCCCTTCTCAGTCACGGGATTCCAGCCAAAGGCTTTTCCTCCTGGGTTTTGTGTTCCCATTTGAGAAATGAGAAGTTTTTGGCAGTACTGGGCTTTGAACTCAGGGCTTTGGGCTTGGGAAGCAGGAGCTCTACCACTGGAGCCATGCCCCCAGACCTTTTTGCTCTAGTTATATTGGAGAGGGGACCTCTATTTTTGCCCAGGCTGCCCTGGACCTCGGTTCTCCTATTTTAGGCCTCCTGCTGTGTCTGGGAAGACAGGCCTGCATCATGGTGCTCAGCTATGGGTTGAGTCATGAACTATCCGCCTGGGCCTCCATCCTCCAATGTCAGCCTCCTAAGTAGCTGGGATTACAGGCGTGAGCCAGTGGTATACTTAGATTGGGAAATGAGAGATTTGACCAGGAGGCCACAGATTTGCAGAGGGGGCCACCCTTGACTGAGACATTAAGAGAAAAACTCCATTCTGTGGATGTTGTCCTCTTTCTGAAAAGTCAAAACAACAAATCGTGACATTACGGGATGTTCTTGCTGAGTTTAACAATTCAGCTTTGGTTGATCTATTTTTGGTTTTGTCTTCTTAACTGCATTTGTTTGTTTGTTTGTTTGAGACAATGTTCTGCTACATAGCCCAGGCTGGCTTAGAACTCTCCTCCTGCCTCAGTCTTCCCAGAGTTGGAATTACAAGTGTGGGCCGCCATGTCTGGCTCATAGCAGGGGATTTTTACATGGAAAAAACAGAAAATGATAGAACAAGCAAGATAGAAAAGGAATAAGGATACAGCTGGCTTGAACTACACGAGTAACACACTTTACTTAATGTGTGTCTGATGAAATGGAAGATGTGTTAGAACTTACTCAGAATGCAGAGAGAGGAAAGAAGGGCAAAATAAAAGAGGTGTTAAGATATTTGGAGGGCAGAATGAATGAGAGGCTAGAGTGAACCTTCCCCCAGAAGGGAGAACAGAGAGAAGACACAAAACTAATGTTTAAAACAATGAGAAAATGACTAAAAAATGTGTAAATCAAGGAAGGCTCATGTGTTGTGAGCTACAGAGTTCTCAAAAACAAAGATGCCAAAAGGAATGAAAGAGAAAGGACTAATCACTTACAAGGAAGTGGCAATTAGAAAGACGGCCAATTCCCAATAGCAATTATGGAAGCCAGAAGAAGGATGGAGATCAGACACCATTAACCAAATGCCACTAATTGTATACCTTACGATGGTTAATTTTATGTCATGTGAGTTTGCCTTCAAATTTGTTTTGCTTGGACTTTTTGAGACAGGGTCTCACTGTCTAGCCCAGGGTGGCCTTGAACTCACCATCCTCCTGTCTCAGCCTTCCTTGTGCTAGAATTGCAGGTATGCACCACCATACCCAGCTAGATTTTATATTTTAAAAAGCCAATATACAAATTAAGAAAGTACTGGAAAACAGCAGCTTACAAGGCAGGAAGAAAAGATGAAAATTAATGTGTTCTATTTAAGGTCCTTAGTTTAGTTTAGTTTTGTTTTATAATAGAATGTTTTTATTAGGATATATTTGTTATATGGGGGGATTCATAATGACAATTCTGATTAGGTTTATATTGTACATTGGTCACCCTCATCATGTCTCCCCCTCAACCCCCTCCCTGCCCCACTTGAAACAATTGCAAGAGGTTTCTTTGCAAATGGTAGATGAGATTATGAAACTCATCTACCATATACCCTCACCTTAATCTCCTTCATTCCCCCTCCCTCTCCCATTAGTTTCCCCACACACACACCTGTACCTGTTTTACAACCCTGTCTTTCATTATTAATATTTGAGTTGATGTCCAAAGGGGTTTATCAATGTGTCCCTGCTATGGGTGTGCTTTACTTTTGTCCAGCCAACCCCTTCCACTGCTCTCTCTTACACCTTTACCTCCCACCCACCCCCTCCCATTTTTCAACAGCTTTCAGTACACATCCTTATATCCTCTACCTTCACATCTTATGGTATGCAATATCACTGATGCTCTATCACTCTCTTTTCCTTTCCCTCTTTCCCCAAGTTCCATAGAGGAGTTCCCCTGTTACAAACATATTCTACAACTGAGTTTGTATATGTTCGTGATTGTTTTTGTGCATATGTTTATCCTTGGATCTATCTTCCACATATGAGAGAAGGCATGTGGGCTTTGTGTTTCTGAGTCTGGCTAACTTCACTTAACATGAAGTCATCCATTTACCTTAAAACCACATGTCATTATTCCTTATGTCCGAGTAATACTCCATTGTGTATTTTTTAGTGCCTGCTAGATTCTTAGAATAACTAAGGACCTTGAGGCTTTTGAGAAGCTAGTGGGTACTAAAAAACTCTTTTATTTTAGACTAAGATGAATATGCTCAAGAAAAATGAAGTATAACTGTAAAAGAACAGAAATAAGGTATATAAACTTCAAGCAAGCAGAAAGGGGGAAAAAATTCCACAAAATTAAATAACAGGCAGGAAGAATAGAAAGTTATCTTTTTTGTCAACATGGAGAGACCTGAAGAACATTATGTTAAGTGAAATAAGCCAGGTACAGAAAGCCAGATACACCATGATCTCACTTTTCTGTGGGCGCTAACAAAAACCAGTCAATTTACAGAAACTGAGAGTAAAGTGGTTGTTAGCAGAGACTGGGGGGAGACAGGGAGAGACGGGGAGAGGTCCATCAACAGATGCTAAGTTATAATTAGCCGTCAGATGTCCTGGTGTGCTGTAGATAATGTTGATGTACTGTGTTGTTTTTCTAATAAGCTACAAGAAAGTATTTTGAATGTTTTCATCGCAAAGAAATGATAAATGAGGAGTTACATATGTCTGACAGACTCAAACATTACACAGTGTAGGTATGCATCAAAACATCACATGGTTATAGATGTACAGTTTTTATAAATCAGGTCAAAATTTTTAAAAATGTTTAAGCCTGGCATCAAGGGGGGCATACCTGTAAATCCCAGCACTTGGGAGAGTTCCAGGTCAGCCTGGGATACATAGCAAGATCCTGTCTCAAAAAACAAGCAAAAATGTAAAAAATTTAAGTCAGATAGTACAGTGTCGAGCATATCAATAATCCCAATAAATACAAATGATTAAATTCATTACCAGATTAATTCTATTTTAAAAGGCTGTTTATGGGCTGGCAGAGTGGCTCAAGTGATAGAGCATCTGCCTAGCAAGCATGGGGTCCCAGTTAAAAACTCAGTACCACCAAAAAAATAAAAATAAAATAAAAGGCTGCTTATAAGAGACATATCAGAAGCACATAGAAAAGCTGAAAGCAAAGATGAAAAAGGATTTATTTAGAAGTATTACCCATAAAAAAGGTAGTACATACATTTATCAAAATTGATCAAATTAGTTATCTATACAAAAATAATTCTTAAACACCCAGAGGGTACCTTCAAAGTAATAGTTTTCTTTTTTTCTTTCCTTTTCTTTCTTTACTTTCCTTTATTCCTTCCTTCCTTCCTTCCTTCCTTTCTTTTCTTCTCCCAGCTGAGTCTCACTCTGTATCCCTCTCTCCCTATGCTCAGTGTCTCAGAGCAGAGGGTGAGGCACCCTTTTTACAGCTCTCCCTGCTCAGGGATCCCCACCTGAATCAGCAGAAAAAAACTTGAGCTCCACATTCATGTTTTAATGGATTTATTGTGTAAAAAAATAAGCAATGTATATTTGTTCTCTGCCTCTAGTCCCTGACACAGAGCACCTAAGAACATCCTGGGTGATAGGAATGTGTTCTGTTGTAAAAAGGACTCTCTTGGGCTCCTGATTGGGGCTGGTCACCAGAAAGACCAGCCATGCTAAGAGCCTGGAGTTCGCAGCACAACCCCATTACTGGAGAAGGTGACAAGGCAAGAAATGGAGTCGATAATGCTGCTTATGCAATAGAGCTGCCATTAAAAAGTCCCAAAGTGTGACATGCAGGGAGCTTCCAGGTTGGTGAAAGCATCCATGGACCAGGAGTGTGGCCGAGGGTGACAGAACTGCTGCCCTCCTGATGCTCCCAGCCTTCACCCTGAGCTCCTCTTCACCTGGCTGCACACACATATCCTTCACCCTGTCCTTTCCTGAATAACACACCAGCAAATGCACGTGTCATCTGAGGTCTGCAAGGTGTCTTAACTGATGAGAGAACCAGAGGGCAGCATTGTGGAAACTCCAATTTGCAACTAGTGAGTCAGGAGTGACAACTGGGGACTTGCGATTGGCACCTGAGGTTGGTCCAGTCTGATGGGACAGAGCCCTTGGCCTGCAGGGTTTGCCCTGACTCAGGCTAGTGTGGGAATTCTGAACTGGGACAAATTGAATTCACTGTGGGACACTCAGCTGGTGTCAGATTTGATGAATGAGAGGAAACCCAGGTCGCTCCAAAGTGCTGAGTGTTGAGCATACAAGGAGAGGGAAAAATGGCTTTCTTACATAACATAGTGTCAGTTAACAGTTTCAATAAAAATATTTGTGAGGAGTTTCTTCACTAATTAAATTTAAAGGCCAGCTCCAGGGAACAAGCCCAGATGGTTGACCCCTCTACCGGTCCTTTTTCCATTGCCATAACGAAATAGCTGAGACTGGGTAACTTATAAAGAAAAGAGGTTTATTTAGCTCACAGTTTTGGAGGCTGAAAGTCCAAGATCGGATGGCCCATGTATTCAGCTTGTGGTGAGGGTCTCAGTGGTGGGTGGC